TGCATGAAGCCAAGAACCCACTTGGCGTGGGTCCACTTTCCTCTAGCACAGGTTTATTAGGTTTTGCTCAATAACAAAACAAGAAACACAACCTTTCAGTGGCTTACACAACAAACATTTACCTCTCACTCGAGAGTCTATGGATGAGCTGTTTCCTAGGCTTGGCTGGGCTCAGGGTTTGGGTTGTCAGCTTCGTTCTCTCAGGTCTGTTTGTCACTCGAGGGCCCAAGCTGAAGAGAGGAGGCATTCCTCTCATGGGGACAGCGCAGCGCAGGAGGAGCAGAACACAGGCTGCTTCGCAAGGTCTCCGCGTGGAACGGCTCACTCTCTTGCCTGCCCCTGTTCCACTGGTGCAGACCCGCCAAGGGCAATGTGATGCAGAAATCACCCTCACCCACCTGTGAGAACCGCGAATGGCCTAACGTTTCCAGATGTCCCTTACAGGGCTATTCTGGAACCACCTCAAGCCTGGTGCCCTGGACTCCACACCACAGGCCCAATAGTCTAGGCTCACAATTCTTAGAAACAAGCTCCACTCAGGAGGCTAAGGGAGTCCCAGGGGAGGAACAGCATGCTTCAAGTGTCACCCAGCAGAGTTGTCGGACTGGCAGTACCAGGTAGACAGACAGCCACTCCTGATGGGAGAGAAGGACAACTTCTATCAAGGGCCTTGGGTCAGTTTTGGGAAGGCTCTGACCTCTCATTAACTCTACAATGTGCGCTTATAAAGCCCCTAGGTATCAAGTTCTAGGTTGTCACTTATTTGTCAGCTGATATTTATTGAGAGCCTCATGGGTGCTGGGAGGCGTACAATTATGGGTGGTGACACAGGCAAGGTGCCAGGTCTGGGTCAGGCCCTTCCTTGGTGGTTTCCCACCTCTCCTTCCTCCTTCCCACAGAGTTGTCCCTTTAATTTAGACTCAACCTCACAACCCCTATGGCCCAGCAAGGGACAGCCAGGCAGAGCATAAGTGACATGAGTGTAAAACAAATGAGAGGAGAGGATTCACCGATACAAAACTAAGATGTTAGGAATCTATCGCTTGAGAAACACGTTCTAATGTTGGGAACTCTTCTGAACTGCTTTATCAGATTAGTCAACACATGGGAAGGCTTTACCTAGCCATCTGCAAAAAGACCATCTTTACACAGTAGGCAGACTAGAAATACATGCAGAATGGGTGGGAAACCCTCACATGTGGACTGGGAGAAGGTAGAGCAGCAGCAGCAGACAGTGAACCGTTACTGAGTGCCAGCCATGTCCACACAATGCCAGCTGCAGTCTTCACTGCTTGAGGACCTAACCTACGATATAGTGCTATTATTATCCCCCTATAAACACAAAGCATAGGATTGAAGTGTAATTTTAAGAGTCATGCAAAGAAAATAAAGTAAGCAAGAACAAGGTATCATGTATGATGAGCATCAACTTCCTCAGCAGACGACTTGGCTCAGTCCTGTCCCTGCCACCTAAACACACTATTTGTGGTCGCAGGTCATTTAACACCATGGAGCTAATATAGGAGCAACGCACCTACCGGGCATTGTTTCACATAATCCTCACCACTGCCGCTTTCCTTATCTCCATTTCAAAGAAGCAGCAACCTGAGGTTTAGAGAACTTAAACAGTTTACCGGATAATTAAACTGGTTATGTCTTCCTCTGGAAGTGGTGTATTCTATCCTGTATCTTTCATCAGACCCATCAATGCCAGTGCTTTTGTGAACATCAAGAAAGATGTGGGCAGGCGCGGTGGCTCACGCCTGTAATCCTAGTACTCTGGGAGGCCAATTGCTCTAGGTCAGGAGTTCGAAACCAGCCTGAGCAAGAGCGAGACCCGTCTCTACTATAAATAGAAAGAAGTTAATTGGGCAACTAATATATATAAAAAAAAATTAGCCAGGCATGGTGGCGCATGCCTGTAGTCCCAGCTACTCGGGAGGCTGAGGCAGGAGGATTGCTTGAGCCCAGGAGTTTGAGGTTGCTGTGAGCTAGGCTGACACCACGGCACTCACTCTGGCCTGGGCAACAAAGCGAGACTCTGTCTCAAAAAAAGAAAGAAAAGAAAGATGTGTAGACCAGGTGCAGTGGCTCATGCCTGAGATCATGAGTTGGAGACCATTTTGAGCCCAGGGCAAAAGGGAGACCCCGTCTCTACGGAAAATAGGAATATTAGCCGGGCATGGTGGTGCACGTCTGTAGGCCCAGCTACAGGAGGCTGAGGCAGGAGGAGAATCTCTTGAGCCCAGGAGTTTGAGGTTGCTGTGAGGTAAGCTGACGCCATGGCACTCTACCCTCTGCCCTGGGCAACAGAGTGAGACTGTCTCAAAAAAAAAAATTGTGTAAATGGAAATGTTGGGAAATGTTAAACTAACGTGGATTAATATTACAAAATCAAATGAAGCCATATAAAATTTCCTTCAGAAAATTCATGCAGCCAAGCATTTCTTGGTTTATGGACATGTTTACTTAGGTGCCTGTTACAAGCATTATCCTCTGCAATCTTCGCACAAGCTCACGAGGAGGGTCCTGCTCTAATTTTCAGATATTAAATGACACGTGCTTTGCGAATGCTGTTAAATTGGGTGTGATAAAGCAACAGAGGCGACTCTAAGACGATGCGGTGTTGCGGGACGGCTTCCGGCGCAGTGTCCGGGTGAGCACGAGCGCGGGAGCGGAGGCCGCCGGGCCCCTCCGCCAGGCACAAGCGCGGCGGCGTCAGAGGGGCGCGACGAGGCGTCCCCAGCACCGGAGCCGTCGCTTGTGCCCCGCAGGGAAGAGAGGGCACAGCCGCGCTACCGGAGCGCTCCAAGGGAGCGTGAAATGAAATTGCGAACGGGGTCTAGGCCGTCACAGGCGGAGCCTCGCCACTTTTCCGTGAGCGTGTCCTGGTAACGCGGGAGCGCGAGCCCGCCCTGGCTAGCTCCAGAGTCCCGGGGTGACCGCTGTTTCCGGGGTGACTGGGGTCGCCCCTCACACTCCAAATCAAAGACGTCGTTTTTTCATTTGTTCCGCAAACGTTTATCGTGCGCCGACCATTTCTCCATTACTGTGGCAGCGACCCCAGCCGAGGCCGGACGCCCACGGCCGAGCGTCCGCTGCCGGCCGGCGCGCGCGGAGGGCGAAGGTGCCCGGGGCGCCGGTCCAGGAGCCGAAGCCCAACCCGCAGCCTCAGCGCCCGGCCTGCGCGCGCCCGGGGACGGCACCGGCCCACGCACATGCACACGCACGGGAGCGCAGGCTCCCGCGTCCCCGGCGCAATGCCGGCGCTGGGCGCGGGCGGGAGCCCGGGAGTCCAGGCGGGAGGCGGGAGCTCGAGGCGGGGCGGGTGCCCGCGCCCGGCGCTCGTGCATACGCGCCTCGGCTCCCGAGGCCCCGCCCATGCCCCGCCCACCCTTTCTCCCGCGCGCGGGCTCCGCGCGCCCCATGTCGAGCGCGTGCGCGCGCGTGCGCAGGCCAGGGCCCTCCGGGGGCGGCCCCGTAGTCTCGAACGAAAGCGTCGGCGAGAGCCCGGATTAACCCTTTCCCTGCTCGCCCACTTAGGAGCCCGGTCGAGTTCCGTGCCTGCGCAAGCCGGTGGCGCGCCTTCCCCCCAACCCGCACCGCGCATGCACGGGAGGGGGGGCGGTGGGGGTGTTCGCGGCCGGCTAGACATTCTGTGCTCGTGCAGGAGGAGGGCTGCCACCGTCAGGGACGTGCACGACTCCCCCACCCCGCCCCCTCCCCAAACTAAAAAAAAAAAAATCCAAAACACACTGCCACCCTCCGTGCCCCCGCGCCCCGCGTCCATCCCGTCCCGGCCTGCGTGCTAGTGAGCGCGGGGAACCCACGGCGAGCGTCTGCGGCTGTGCCAGGCTGCAGGTAAGCGCGGGCCGGGAGCGGCAGGGGCCGGGGCCGTCCGCGAGGCGGGCGCGGGGGCGGCCGGCGGGGCGGCCCGGAAGACGCGCGCGCTCGCCGAGCTCTGGGGTACCAGCCAGCTCCAGGACGAGCGGCGGCCGCCGGCGGGGCGTGCGAGCGGGACGGGCGTGGGCCGGGGCTGGGCGTGGGCCGGGGCGCCGGGCCGCGCAGGCCGGCGAGCGGGCTCGGGAGCAGCCGGCGGCGGCGGCCCCGCGCGCGCGCTCGGCCGAGTTCATGGCCGCCCGCTCGCAGCGCCGCAGTGCACCGCGTGTGGGAGGGACGCCCGAGCCGGCGCCGAGCGCGGCCCCGCGGGCGCCGCCCTCCGAGCCCGGGCCCGCCGCGCCGCCCCCGCCGCCGCGGAGGAGGGGCCGGACCCCCGCTCGCTCTCCCGGGTGCGCCGGCGAAGCTCGGGAGCCGGCCGCGCGCCCGCCCGCCCCGGCCGCGGGAGGGCGGGGAGGCCCGGCGCGAGCTGGCCGGGGAGTGCGCGGGCGCGAGCTCCGGGCTCGCGGGCGGAGCGGGGCGGCGGCGGCGCGGCGCGGGGCTGCGGAGCCGGCCGCACGCCCGCTCCCGTTCGTCGCGCCGCCGGGGCCGCCGCGGGCCCGGTCGCTCCCTCCCTCCCCTGCTCCGAGCCGCGGCCCTGCTCAGCCTGTGCCCGGCGCTGATCATGAAAGGGACGGTGGCCCTTTCACCACCCGGCTCCGAGGCTGCAGCTTTTGTTCAGGAAGCAATGCAAAAGGCCTCATCCACTCCCCCACCTCCCGGGCCGAAAGAAATGAGAGCGAGGGCTCGGCATGCCGCGAAGGCTCTTTCGGTCTTGCGCCTGGCTCCCTGCTTCCTCTGGATTCCAAAGTTGCGAGGTTGCAACGGGGAAGTGGTGCAGCCGCCATTGTCGGGCTGCTCCCGGGTAGGGGAGGTGGCTGCAGCTGCTTATGTAAGTTAGCTTTGCAGGGAGCTCCCTGCCCTGGAACGGGGGCTCCGCGAGCCAGCGGTTTGGAGAGCAGTTGGGAAGGGGCATCTTTATTGTGGAGGTGCAGTAGGAGCTATGTGTTTTCCTACACCTACCTACACAGATACTGGGACGGCTGTCTTCCAGTTTGACTCACCTGAACTTAGCAATTGGAACATCCCAGTGTGGAGAACAATGGGCTGATGGACACTCTGTCTCCTTTCTGGTCCTTAGAGATATTGAGAGAGAGATGGGTAGCCAAATACAGGCTGGCCAAGAATGAAAAGAAAAAAAAAGCACACCGATATGTTGCCATGGCTTCTGTAAGGCCACTCCTCTCTCTGGTCCCATGCACTTTTATCCCACAAGCCCCTGGGCCGGTTTCTAACCGCAGAAGGAAGTATCACAGTGGGAAGGGTTTGCCTTGGCTGCCTTCTCTCTAGAGGTGACTGCAGGGGGCATCTAGGGAACAGGAAGGCAGAGACACTAGAATGATCAAGTCAGAAGCATCCTTAGGAATCATTTTGCCCAACCTTGACACTGTGCAGATGAGAATTCCCTGTTGTGTTCACTTTTCTATAGGGGGAGCTTTTTATGATTTTCAGTGTTGGTCTCTATGTTGGAGTCTTGCACCACAGTTTTTGCATAAGTCTATATTACAGCCCAGTTTTTGGCTCCTACCACACCGGCTTATTTGTGTGGTCACCGTTCAGTAGAGGAAACTTTTAATGTTTTTCAGAATATTGGTCTGCAGGATGGAGTTCCTTGGGTAAGAGTTAAAACTCACAAAAAAGCCAAAATTATTTGATCTTGCGTGTAGGGATATATGTAGAAACACCTGGCTTTCTCAGAGCAATCTTTATTGATTGATTGAGATAGGGTCAGCCAGACTGAAGTGCAGTGGTGCAGTCATAGTTCACTGTAATCTCAACCTCCTTGGCTCAAGTGATCCTCCCTGAGTAACTGGGACCACACGGGTGGGCCATGGTGTTCTGCTAATTTTTTAAATTTTGGAGGGAGACAGGATGTCACTATGTTGCCCAGGCTTGTCTTGAACTCCTGGCTTCAGGCAATCCTCCCGCCTCAGCCTCCCAAAGTGTGGCATTGCAGGCAAGAGCCACTGTGCCCAGCCTAAAATGCAGTCTGTAAAGGCAAATGTGTACTACCTCACGCAGAAAAAAGCAACCACCGTTTCCTCTCTTCCCATGTTAACTGTTGGGTATGTGTACTTCTATAGCTTTATTTATAAATATATAAACTTCTGTATGTCTGTTTGAGTGCAGAGAACAATGTAGAGGGCTCCATGCCCAGCAGGAAATGGAGGATACAGGACACGGTGCACGTACTTACTGGCTTTTCTGTGTCACAATCAGCATCTGTACAAATATGGACGTAGGCTTTGTTTGTGAGGATAAATCCCATAGTGTTTCCCCACCACCTCCTTTCGATTCCCAGTGCACGACCCCTCATGTCCAAGTGTAGCAGCCCTTACCTGTTCTAGTCCACATCTGTTTACAACTGGGCTTGGTGTTGCCAGCTACCTGCCTTTCTGCTCCCAACCTGAAAATGGGTAGATGCACAGGAGACAAAACAAGAAAGGAAAGTTTATTTTTAAAAATCAATTCTTGAAAACATCGTTGGTTTGGGTTTTGTAATAAAGTAAGATCCTACCTCATTCTTGTTTGTCCTTTTTCCTGCAGGTCTGGCGTGCTTTTGATCAGAGTTTCTCTGATCTGAAGATTTTGACGTTTAAGGCATTAAGATAATAGCCTGAATTGTTCATGGTAACTATAACTTTGGATACTAAAGTTTGAAATGATTAGGCATTTGCATATATATATATTCTCATGCATTAATACTTCTGTTTCTCTGGGGAAATTATGTATTTTCTTGAGGATTATACTTTGTTAAATAAAACTAAAATAATGTTTTTTGAAAGAAAACATATAGAACACATTATTTTAAGAAAGCCAATTCTTTAACATGGTGACAGAGCTCTTTCATGCCAGTTCCAGATTTCTTTTACTTATACTTGCAACATTTATCAACTACATCCAATGTTAATAACACTTTTATCTGGATGGTATCCAGTAGATTGGTATCCAGGGAAACTAAGCCACTTATCACTGTCTTTCCAAATGTCATCTGATTCATTTGGGGTCAGATTAAACCTTGACCCTCATTCAGAAGTGGCCCAAAACTGCTATGGAAAAATTAGAAAACAACACTGAATGGAGTATTTTGGCAATCGTGTCCATCTCTAGTTCTGCGGTAGTGATTTGTCTCTCTGTCAAAGAAGTATAATGCTGAGCATAGTTAGTTATTTTACTGAATCCTTCATTCATGGAATTAGAGTAGTTGCAACATACAGGTCTAGAGACTCCTTGCCTCAAATATGTTTTTTAAACCTTGAGGTTGAGTTACTTCTGGTTGTTAGGAAGCATGGGTTTTGGAACTAGGTTGTCTGCATTTGAGTCCCAGCTCTCACTAAATGGATATAGAATATTAGACAGGTTTCTAATTTTGTCTATAAAATGGGGACAGTGATAGGTACCTCATAAGGTTATTAGACCATTAAATTAAGCATGTAAAGCACATAGAACAATGCCGGTCATGTATTATATGCTCAATAAAAGTTGCTATTATTATTAGGCAAATACTTAGTAAACTGAAAATAAATATAAGTAACAATGCTGAAATCTCTAAGTTGGGATACGTCTCTTCTGCTCATATTTATGGATCACTCTTACATTGACTTTCTGAAATTGTTAGGTTCCAGACATTGATCAGAAAATGATAATCTGGTTTTGTTCTCTGTATGGGAAAATACTGTTTAGAATTACTAAACTTTCTTTTTTTAAAATATTTTTTGTAGGAGTTTTTCATCAGTATGTCTGAAACCATTAAATATAATGACGATGATCATAAAACTCTGTTTCTGAAAACACTAAATGAACAACGCCTAGAAGGAGAATTTTGTGATATTGCTATTGTGGTTGAAGATGTGAAATTCAGAGCACACAGATGTGTTCTTGCCGCCTGCAGTACCTACTTTAAAAAGCTTTTCAAGAAGCTTGAGGTTGATAGTTCTTCAGTAATAGAAATAGATTTTCTTCGTTCTGATATATTTGAAGAGGTCCTGAACTACATGTACACAGCAAAGATTTCTGTGAAAAAGGAAGATGTTAACTTAATGATGTCATCGGGTCAGATTCTTGGTATCCGATTTTTGGATAAACTCTGTTCTCAGAAGCGTGATGTATCTAGTCCCGATGAAAATAACGGTCAGTCAAAAAGTAAATATTGCCTCAAAATAAATCGCCCCATTGGAGACGCTACTGACACTCAGGATGACGATGTGGAAGAAATCGGGGATCAGGATGACAGTCCTTCTGATGACACGGTAGAAGGCACACCCCCGAGTCAGGAGGACGGCAAGTCGCCCACAACGACACTCAGGGTTCAGGAAGCCATTCTGAAAGAGCTGGGGAGCGAGGAAGTTCGGAAAGTCAATTGCTACGGCCAGGAAGTAGAATCCATGGAGACCCCAGAATCAAAAGATTTGGGGTCACAGACCCCTCAGGCCTTAACGTTTAATGATGGGATGAGTGAAGTGAAAGATGAACAGACACCAGGCTGGACGACAGCTGCCAGTGACATGAAGTTTGAGTATTTGCTTTATGGTCACCACCGGGAGCAGATTGCCTGCCAGGCGTGTGGTAAGACATTTTCTGACGAAGGCAGACTGAGGAAGCATGAAAAACTCCACACGGCAGACAGGCCGTTTGTCTGTGAGATGTGTACGAAAGGTTTCACCACACAGGCCCACCTGAAGGAACACCTCAAAATCCACACAGGGTATAAGCCCTACAGTTGCGAGGTGTGTGGAAAATCATTTATCCGCGCCCCAGACTTAAAGAAGCACGAGCGAGTTCACAGTAATGAAAGACCGTTCGCATGCCACATGTGTGACAAAGCCTTCAAACACAAGTCCCACCTCAAGGATCACGAAAGAAGACACAGAGGGGAAAAGCCTTTTGTGTGTGGCTCCTGCACCAAGGCCTTTGCCAAGGCGTCAGATCTGAAAAGGCACGAGAACAATATGCACAGCGAAAGGAAGCAAGTCACCCCCAGCGCCATCCAGAGCGAGACAGAGCAGTTGCAGGCCGCAGCCATGGCGGCGGAAGCCGAGCAGCAGTTGGAAACAATAGCCTGTAGCTAGAGGTGATGAGACAGGAACACTGGGCCTGGGGAGCGGAGTCTGCGATTGCATTGATCGTGGCGAATGGACGGCATTCACTCTGTTTTTGTGGAAGTGTACGGAGCGTTGTACTCATTGGACTGAAGGCAGTGCTTGGTTAGGTATTTTTAAAACTTTTCAAGGAAATAATGTTCCTAAGTTCTGACCAAACAGTTTTGCTGTCCTGTCTGGTGTCTAGTATTCATGTTGCCAGGAAACTCCCCTCCTCCTCTTTTTTATGATTTTAATTTGAGAACTCCTGTGTCCAGTTTAGAAGTGAGAGACTTCCATTTTAAAGTCCTCTACACTCACTGGTGAGTGCACTGCACAGAGTGAGAATTAAGTAAATTGATTTCCTAATCATCACAATTCTATGTGACTTGTGGTCAAAACAGCAGTTTTAATAACTTAAAGTACTTCAGATAGACGCAGAAAATACTGATGGGTGGTTGCCCAAGAACACTGCGCAGATACGAAAACAAGTTCTGGAAATGCAGAATGGTGTTAGATTTATATTTGGTTTGTTAATTTTATATCACTGTTCTTCACTGTTTTTTGTGGACAGATAATGGTTGCTTTGCTGAAGGGTTTCTTCATCCATTTTGATTGCCCTTTACCTACCCCAAAAGCTGTAGTCACACGAACTGAAGCTGAGCTAAGCCACCGAGCGATGTTGTTCTTGGGCCTGAGTTCTCAGGATCCTCTTAGGCACGGCCACTCTGCACCAGCTGGGATCTGTGGAGTGAACCAGTGGTGAGAGGAGTAGAAAAGGCTCTCAGAGATAAGGTTTTACGTGTGCAACTATTCCAAGATTACTAGATTAAAGTAATTCTTAATTGATTTGGGAATTGGATTTTTATTTAGGATCAAAATTAGGCCAAGAACAGATATTTCTTCAGATACATTTGTGTAACTTAACAGAATGTCATCACGCTTTGGGGCTCTCTGCAGCACATGATTTATCCATAAAGGAGATGCAATATGCTTACTTAAATTAATAAATTTGAAATCTCTTAAGTGTGTAAATAGTAGTGTTGGTCTTACGTATTTCAAGTAAAAGCAGACAGCTGCACTTTTTTTGCACATTGGATTAAAATAACTTCCATCAGCAACAAACATCAGACTGTTTTTAACAAATATTAAAGATTGTCAGACCAAATGTTTGTTTTGAAGTATTTTTCATCACTGGTTACCATTTAGAAGTTGATTGCCTTTTCAAAGCCGTAAGTCAGAATCATAAACTCTGTTCCAGTTTTGGCGTGCTAAATATTCTTTTAACCATTTATTTAGGAATATATTGAAATGCCAACAATAGTTTGAATTACGTTCTGTAATTATTAGTCAATTATTTTAGAATATGTAGAATTGTAGAAAATGTCAACTTTTTAAAATTCATTTTTGGTTGCTAGGATTTTTAAAAAATATATTAAAGTAATTTCATTTCATAGCTTGTTGCATTAACACCTGTAATTACTATTGTGGGAGAAATTTTATTTTTAAAATTGGTGTATATGTTATGCCCAAGATTGTAGAATGAAGATGGTACCTTTTTAAAAAAAATTATTTATTGGTAAAATGTTTAATTTAGCTTAAAATTGATTTCTTTTCTTGAAAGTTGTTTATTCTGTACTAAAAGTAGTCCTGTCACTGTGTTTTTACTCTATTAGTAGACGGGGAACTGATTACTGTTCCTGGGCTGTTTTAACCAAAGCAAAGGAAAAATAATTTAACATCTTGTTGATAGCTACTTCAACGAACCTTATTTTGGTCCTTCATTTTTGTATATAAAAGAAAATATGCTTCTGTCATTCCTGTTTTCATTTTTTCATAGCAAGCTTCCACATATCCAGGTTTTTACCAAAATGTATTTCCTATACTGTCTTCATCGTGGCTTCACTGAGTTACAAGTTAAATGTGTGGTATTAACCCCCATTGAAACCACATAGCCCCAAAAAAGATGGCTTAATTTTCAGCACCTTATTTGTATTATGCAAATATTTATCATTTGGCCTATTTTGCACGAGAAATATATTTGTGTATTTCTACCACTGGTACTGGGTTTGTATGTGCATTAGGGTGTATGTTTTCTTGGTATATTTTTGGTGGCAGCAAAGTGATAATATTGCAGCTCTCCTGTTTGCTGGGTCCTGGTCAGTAACACTGCCTCTCCATACCCATCAGGCTGTAGGAGTTCCTGGGATAGTGAAGTCATCATGTTAGATCGTTCACGGGTAACTCCACCAACACAGGGAGTTAATTCTGAAATGTGATTACGTGCTTACTCTGAGTTGGCCATGTAAGAGGAAAGGAAAAGTCTAAA